ACCAGAAATCAAGTATCAAAAGTGCAGCCTAACTGGGACTCTAAACAGGGACCCTCTGAATAATGTTTCACAACTCTACCATCTGAGCTATCTGGCCGCTTACACATTCTCTCCCCTATATTGTGAACAGTTCTTAATCATGATGTAAATAACTAGAGAGGTCCTGAAACAGTATAATGTTCCAATTTTGAAATCCTGACAAAGTTTAGCAGAGAATTTAATTTTTTTTTTAAATCAAAGTGCATGAATTCTTTTTGTTTACAGCTGGTTTGGGAGAGTTTAAATTGCGAGATATAAATGATGAAATCAACAAACTATTACGAGAGAAGGGACATTGGGAGGACAGAATAAAGGAACTAGATGGACCTGATTATAGGGTATGAAGTTAATGTGCATTATTGCTAGGAGACCATGAGAAGCACTTTTGCTTGCTAGAAACCATGCTTGTAGTATTAATGCATTATAAATCTATATTTATATCTATATCATTTTTTACCAGTGGAATCATTAGTCTGCTATAATGTACCTTCCTTTTTATATAACTTTTTTATGTTTTATTTTATGGTACTTTCTAAGAAATCTATATTTATGTATGTTTGCCTTCTATTAAATATCATACCCAAAAAATGTACTTTTCAGTTTTACTTTTCATGTTTTCATGAGTTTAAGCCTGAGAGAATGGATAATCTTTAAACATTTTATATGTTTTTTATTATTCTATGTATTGTACAGGCTTCTTTCCTAGTGATATTTTGTAATTTTTCACTATTTTTATCACAGAAAATTGGACCAAAAATGTTAGACCATGAAGGAAAAGAAGTCCCAGGGAATAGAGGCTATAAGTGAGACTTTTTCTGTTATAATTCTTGAAAAGTCAAAGTTATTTGATGTTTGATGTCTAAAATTGTCTTTAAATTCAAATCTAGAATCACAAGTGTATTTAAAGTTCATGATTAAAGTTAAGGATAGACTGAATGAATAAAGAATAGAATGTCTCAATTGAATCAGTGTGTTGATTTTACCTGTAATTTAATATAGATGAATGATATAAGGAAACAGGAAAAACATTACCAGTAACACAGTGTTCATCTCCTTATCTAAGTAGGTTAAGTGATGATTTTGCACATTTGCAACACCCATTAACTGAAATTAACTGCTAAAAGAAATAAACAGGGTAATGTGAACTTTGTCAAGAATCAAACCAATATTTGACCAATGACAGACTGGCCAATAAAGCTTTATACCCTTTGGCATTGTTTATTTTTCTTTCTTTTTTCAGATATTTTGGGGCAGCAAAAGATCTGCCTGGTGTTAGAGAATTGTTTGAACAAGAACGTAAGATATTTAAGATATTTAAAATGTGTTATAAAGTAAGAAACTCCAAATGAAAATTTATAAATAAAAGCCCAAATAATAGTAATCATTTGGGGGCACTTTTGACAACAGGTTTAAGTTGCTGAATTACCAGAATCACAGCCCCTCACCAGTGTGATGAGCATACGTGTCCAATTGGTTAAGGGCGTTGACTTCTATCCACTTGCCCCTCACCACTATGGCTTCGAATCCTGATAGCGGTTTTGGATTCTTTCATGTGAGGAAGCTATCCAGCTAGCTTACAAAATGTCAGCAGTTCTACTCGGGTGTCTATTTGTGCCTGAAATGATATAGCAAAGGGCATCCTTGGTCTCCGTCCCAGTAAAGCTGGTGTCTGATAGATTGCAAAAAGGGGAATGTACGGTCTCAAAATAACTTCGATCTAGCATTTCTTTAGTGATCCCTTATTAAGTCATGCTTATAAGACACAGTCCCTATTTTGATACCAAAATCAGGATAGCCAAAAATGCGTCTAATAAATGAGTTTGTACAGTATTTTGCTTGTGTGTGTTACAGCTCCCCCACCACCTAGAAAGACACGAGGAGAGTTGATGAAGGATATAGATGCTGATTATTATGGTTACAGAGATGAAGATGATGGTGTTATTATACCTCTAGAAAAAGAAGCAGAAAAGAAAGGTTTAAGATAACCATATATACCAATATAGAAACTTAGATTGATTTTAGTTTGAAATGTTACTTCATTTAGCTTGATTGTGAATTTAGCTTAGAATTTAAAGTTAATTTAAATCATGTACAATGTATTATCATTTTTAAATGTTATGTCATAGGTACTTCAAAGGGGAAGAGGTGAAAATATTATAATGGATTGTATATATGTTTGTGTTTGTTTTGGGTAGGCATGAATGTGGCATTTTATATTTTGACTTGCTGATTTCAAAGCATAGTTTCTTTACAATTTTAATTTTGAAGATTATAACAGAATTTATTAAAGGGACTCGACTGATTTTTTTTAACATGACTGGTAATAAATTTTTCGAGATTTGTATACCTTTTGATTTAGGTCAATTACAAACTTTTTAGATCATTTGCCTACTTTATTCTACCAGAACAGTCATTTGAAGTGTGCAAAATTACTCAAAATTAAAGGCATTTAAATGCTATAAACTGAAATCTGGCAAAGAGTTGCACAAGAAATCAAATTTCAATTCAATTCAGACTATAATACTTTAATATCATTGTAAATGTTTGCTTGTCACTTGTCCCAGAAGATCTGTGAAAGAATTTTTTAAGTATTATATTTTTATGCTGCTGAACCTCAGTGAAGTTCCTTTAATTCCAGCTTTTGTTTTCTAGATGTATGAAATTTGTTTACATTATGTGATATTTATTATTGTTTGGTTTTATTAACCTGTCAATTACATACTGATTACACGGTCGATGCACACAGTATATTAATCTTCGGGAGATGTTCGGTAAGTTCCGTGAGATGTACGCTGTACGATGGAATTTAATTTAATTTCTATCTCTAAACTAAGTGTACTCAGCGTTATAGCCCAATAGGGTAAATCACGAGTTTATAATCTAAGTGCTACACGTGTTTTAAGTTCGAGGCCGCGTTGGTCCATGTTTTTTCTTAGTAATACTTCCAACATTATTGAATTTATATATGATCATTTTATGTTGTTCGTATTGTTTGATTATGTTTTACTTAATTTTGTTATGTATATACTCTTTTTAAATAACATGTTTTTTCAAGAATTCATGTTTAAAATTAAAACGGAGTAAAATCAATAAATGTCTTTTCAATGCCGTAAAACACACTACAAATCTGTTCTATTAAAATATGCTGCAAAAATAAAGAAAGAGTATTAAAACAATGGCAACAGTTAGGATCGAACCACAGACCTCTCAATTATCAGGCATTCTCTTTACCGACTGTCCTATTGTGAATTAACGAAAACCTTCACATTAAGCTGGCGTGACTTTCAATCCATGACTAATATACTCCACATTAATTCTCGTAAACTACACGGACCAAACCGAAGTGGGATCGAATATTTAATGAGTCCTATAATGTATTCATAATTGACAGGTCAATAAAATCAGACTATAAATGCTGTGATGGGTTGTAAACCAGGGGTCATTGGTTTGATCCTTGGTTGAGGCGAAATTTCTTTTTGACAATTGATCTAGGGTATCAAGTCTAATGCGTCATTTGTCTCTCACCTCTGATTCAGACATCATGTGGGATTAGCAGTCAGTCACTTGCAGAGGCATTGATAATTACTGATTAGATATTCATTAAAGATTGACAGACTGCAGAGATACTACCAAACTGTGTTGAAATTGCAGTAAAATAAACAAGCGATTTATCATTTAGCAATAGCAGAGAAGGGTACGAGCATGGAAAGAGAAACAAGAAACAGATTTGCTAGAGGGAGAAAAACTGAAGATTCTGAGGAAACTTCCAGAAGTTCCAAGATTGTTTGAGAGAGAAGTATGATATTAAACTTGGCACAGCTAAATTAAAAAAGCAGTATGCTTCGATATTTGTTGTTAATTTTTATGAAAAACATAAAATTTTTCTGAAATTTAATTTGGATTTTTGCACCTTCTTGAGTTTAGCCACTTTTTTTTTTTAAAAAAAAAAAAAAAAAAAATTTTTTTTAAAAAAAAAAATATTGGTGTTATTAAAAAAAAAAAAAAAAAAAATAAAAAATTAATTTTTTTTTTTTTAAAAAAAGCCAAAGTTGCTTTTCGATTGATCTTCTTTTCTGGAAGTTACCACCATTTTTACTTAACATGTTAATTAGATCATTGTATAAATAAAATTAAAAACATTCATTACTGATTCCATTCTTAAAATGTAGTTATTCAGAGCCCAAAATTTATTGGAAAGGGCCATTCATGTCAAATTCAAATTTCGGTTTAAAATATAAAAATGATATTTTCTATATCACTTTTTTCCTTTCAATTTGAAGTTTCAAAACCATTCATAATTTTAAGGGAAAACTTCAAAAAAATATTTAACTAAACCCTGGAATTGCAAAATAGTGCAGACTATGATCAGGGGTTTCCTAAAACCCGGATGTAGATGCAAGTCCTTACAAGAAAGGCTTAAAGGTCAAGGGCTTTTTGGGAAAACCTCATTTTCATGCCAAATTTAACTTTTTTCTCCTTTTTCTTAGATAAGAATTAAAAATTATAAATATTTGAATAAGAAAAGGTGAGTGTTCTATCCACCTGATAGTTTATAGAAGATTCCTTGTAACTGTTGCAACCATAAGTTATGGTGCTTTAAATGGTATTTGTATAATTATGTACCGACTCAAACCTTAAACTCATAAAGCATTTGTAAAAAGTGAGTTGTGTAAAACAAGAGTTACTGTCCCTGATATAGTAATTTACTTCTGAAGAGTATTTCTGATGATAGTTTAAGTTTGCTCATATAGTTATCAGTATATGTATTTGATTACAGGAAGAAGATATGGATGCTGATGTTGAAGAACCGAGCACTGCAGAGGAATCCGACATGACACATTTTATTGCACATGTTGATGTACCATCACAAAAACAGGTCAGTAACTTTCTTGTCATTGCAAAGGACAAGACTTTTTACTCAACTTAAATAGCCATTGGTGTTATCTTCTAATACTTCTAGAATCTATATACCGGTACCTCATAATTATTATATTCCTTTTTCTGATTCAGATAGAAGAAGCTTTACTGGAACGAAAAAAGATGGAATTACTTCAAAAATATGCCAGTGATGATCTGCAAGCTGAGGAGGGTGAAGTGAAGCAAATGTTAGGGTTATGATAAATTTTGCAGAAATTTAGAATGTCTTAAAGTTTGATTAAACACAAAGTGATAAACTTGGCTCAGTGAAAGGCAAATGTTAGGGTGATGATAAATTTTGCAGAAATACAAAGTGACTTAACATTTGATAAAATGCAAAGTGATAAAACATTGGCTCAATGGCAAGGAAAAAAACACAAGCCTGAGCTTGGAAATTGAATTCTACTATTGATGTAATGATGTTTAAAAGTCAGAGTCATGATATGATGGGACATATAAAAAGACGTGAGAGATTTTGGAAATCAGCTCTATTCAAAAGGCAGGTACAGGGTTAGATGCTGATGTATCTATAAATAATGTTCAAGAATGTGATGCTGTGAATTTATTTTGCAATCAGGGTGTTATGATCATTCACATACCGGTAATCATCAGAGATCTAGCTGTTCACACTGATTCTCAAAGAAATTTTATTAATTTGATAAATTTTTATTTTTTCTAGCTTGACTTTTGAAAGAATTATAGTCTATTTTTGTGGTGTGTGCATTGTAACTGAGTTAAATCCCTTTAATATCCTAAAAATTATTTTTCAACAGCCACAAAAGATATTCATTTAAAAAGTGCAATAGCTGCAGGTCACTAGCCAATACCTGTAACATTAGCATGAGTTTTGATGAATTATTCAGGGCTGCCGATTTTCCGCGGATCCGCGGAAATCCGCGGATTTCGTGAGCTCCTGGGTCATTTTTGAGATCGATGTAAATTCGACAAAGACAATAAATTCATTCGTCATATTTTATACAGTACCCAAAAACCGACACGCTTCGGCTTTTATCGTTACGCTAGCCGCCTATGGTACGTCTGTAAGCGCTTTTCTCATTGGTCATATCGAGTCTTTTCCGGCATTCTATTTTAGAATAACCAATCAAATTACAGTTTACATTGTCGCTCTTGTCTGTTGTCAAAATGCGTCAAAATGTCGGATACTTGTCAAATTTAGAGTCCAGGAAATTGATTTTAGGGCATACCAAATCATCAGAATCCAGGAGCTTTCGGGGGCTTCGCCCCCCGAACCCCCACCAGGGCTATGCCCTGGACCTGCAAAGGGGGCTTGCGCAGCCCCCTTGACCCCCGGCGTTTTTTCCGCTGATTTTGAAATTTGCTGTTGGCAGCCCTGATTATTGCCAATTGTAAACCAAGAACATAATTACATGGCTCATGTTTTACTATCAGGCACTGAAGAAAGTTGATCAGACTTTTTTTTTTTGATCAGACTTTTTCAATGTGGTTATTCAACATGAGGGGCGTTTGTGGCCGAGTGGTTAAGGTCGTTAACTTCAAACCACTTGCCCCTCGCCACTGTGGGTTCGAATCTTGACAGGGACTTCTTTCATGTGAGGAAGCTATCCAGCTAGCTTACGGATTGCGGTGGTTCTTCTCAGGTGCCCGTTCGTGTCTGAAATAATGCGCAGAAGGTCTTCTTCCACCAGTAAAGCTGGAACGTCGCCAAATGACCTATACTGTGTCGGTGTGACGTAAAACCCAATCAAACAAACAAACAATTCAACATGATGGGCACAGGTATTGCAACTCTGAGTTACATTTTACAGATTTATGCCCCTTTTCTTATTATCAAGCACTGAGAATAGTCGAGCGTGCTCAGTCTTATGGACAGCTCCTGTTCATAGAAGTGTTTTTTTCTTCTTTACAAAGAAGTTGGACGTATGTGTCTTAATTGTTTCTTATTGTTATTGTGAATGTGTCTTATTACAAGCAGGAAGTTAAAGTGGAATTGACTTGGCAGCTAATTGTAAAGGTTGAATGTTAGAAGCGACATATACTTTATAATAGGTCCTATTCTTTACTTTCTGTTTCTGTAGAACTTTTGTCAGTATGGATATTGAATAAGGAAAATGTCTTTTTTTCTTTATGCCTCAGTATGGAATAAATTTTTAGAAAGAGCAAACAGGAACTTTATAACATATATATAATGGTTTAAAGTCATGTTAGATGCTTTCAACTTGAAGATATAGAGCTAAATCATAAAATGTGAAATAATTTTTGTCATAAAGTAACAAAATGTAAACATTGACTTTGATACAAAATACTAAACCACTATAAGTTTAATACTTTCCAAAAAGCAACAGAGGCAAAAGATGATTCAGTAAACTGACCAATGAGTAACTTTCTAGAAACTATAGACACAAAACATAAAAAGCTTTTCAGAAATAAAAATGAGACATTTCTGAGGCATAACAGGTCTTTAATATAACACTTTTGAACAGTATATGGAAAAGTGTACGATAAGAATGATTGCAAAAAGTAGTGCTATTATTTTGATATGGTTAATTCATTGTTCATACATTTGTATATTGACCTACTGTATACAAAGATTCACTTTTTTCATTGTTTCTTCATGATATTTTATTGTATAGTAATCATGAAACTTATTGAATAAACATTATATTTTGATAACTTCTACTGTTTGTGTTTTATGAATTACAACGTATATCGCAGCATAAATTTATGTGTATCTATGCTGTGCTAATAAAGCATAAGATAAAATCTATCATTCCTTTTTACAGTTCATCAGTCCATATAAAGTTTACAATTGCCTTTAACAGTTTATCGTTTCCTATAAAAGTTATTTACTCCCTATTATTAAAGTTAATTATTCCCTTTAACAGTTTATAATTCCCTATGACAGTAACAGTTTATCATTTATAACAGTTTATCATTTCCTGTAAAAGTTAAATCATTCCCAATAAAAGTTATTCACTCCCTATGAAAGTTTTATCATTTCCTTTAACAGTTAATCATTTCCTATAAAAGTTATTCACTCCCTATGAAAGTTTATCATTCCCTTTAACAGTTTATCATTCCCTATAAAAGTTATTCACTACCTATGAAAGTTTACCATTCCCTTTAACAGTTTATCATTCCCTATAAAAGTTATTCACTACCTATGAAAGTTTACCATTCCCTTTAACAGTTTATCATTCCCTATAAAAGTTATTCACTACCTATGAAAGTTTACCATTCCCTTTAACAGTTTATCATTTCCTAATAAACTAAATCATTCCCTTTAACAGTTTATCATTCCCTTTAATAGTTTATCATTCCCTATAACAGTAACAGTTATCATTTATAACAATCTATCATTTTCTTAAGAAAGAAAACCCTAGTTGCTGAAAGGTTTCGTTTATCCCTGCTAAGAGGCGAATAAATGGGTCAAATTATTGGAATCTATCCATCTTTTAGCTCCAGCAGCTGAGGTGGTTCTGCCCATGGTGTTGCTTTAAGTTTGTAACATCCGAGGTTAACCAAACCAATATTTCCTATTTCGGGGCCACATGATCTAGATAAGGTCGGTGCGCCGTAGAACAAAACAAAACAAAACTTCTATAGAAAAAATCAATAATTAAGAAAAAAGACGGTGCGAAACTTACAAATATGATTTTAGAAAAAAAATGTTTGGTACATTTGTATTATAAATTTGAATCTTGTATCAAGCAAGAAGTTCATTTAACTCCAAAAAGTTCAATAACCAAAAACAGATAAATGTATCTGATAAACATCGGTAACTTGAACTTTATATATCGTCAAAGGAAACAGCGCAAATGTGAAAAGCGGTAAGATAAGTAAAATTATGTTTGATAAGATTTATAGTCATCACAGATAAGATTGAGACCACTTAATTTATATCTAAGTGCGGAAAATACCAAGTGTTTACTATGATTTTTATCTAGAAAAGATAAATGAACTGTTATCGATTATAGATTATGAATGGCTTTCCACAAGCCACAAAAATACATAATAAATGTACATAAATAGGAAAAGTAAACGACAACACTGAAACGTAATGCACTCCTGCACGCATAATCCGGCCATGTGCATCGTTCTGAATAGTTTTACTCGAAAGATAAAATTCGTGCGAACGAATGATAAAGTTTCTATAAAGAACAGTTGATTATTTCACTGAGATCTACGAGAACTGACGTTATTTTTTCTCTTGTATCTATGATTTATCACTTGCTTATCGGAAATGCCATTTTTACATGCGTTTATGACTGTGTCTGTCACATCTCTCTGTTGACCTTTGTTGGTTCCTGTTTTAACTTGAGATTTATTCAGCTTTTGCCACCCACGCCGCTTAGTCCATTTTTTCTGGAAATTGAAAAAAACAAAACAACAACAACAACAACAGCAAACAAAATATGATAACCTAGCGATACCATTGTAGACGTCCACTAGATGTACTTAAATAGGATGTCCATTAAAATGGACATTTGAAATCAGATAAGAGTTTTGTTTGACGTACTCATTTAATAGAAACGGAAAAGGCAATGAAGACAAAGCTACAAACTGAGATGTAGATAAAATGTTATCTATGTCCCTGCTACAAACAACAACATGTGAGATCCTGGTTAGGTATGTTCCCCGTTTTACTATAAATACACATTAATTAGCAGCCTAAAAGTCAGCTTATAATCGCTTCTAAAGGTATGTATATATGTTTTATTTATGTATTTTCATTTATTTCTGCTATAATGATAATAATAATAATAATAATAATAATAATAAATGATATTTATTCTTAATAGATTAAGCAAGGCAAAGGTATGCTTGTACATTGCATGAAATTAACCAAAACTTCGCATTAATAAACATAGATTTATTTGGAAATAACGCATGCGCAAGGTATTCCGTTTTGTTGGTATTCCGTTTTGTTGTATCGCTATGGCTGCATGCATGGTTGTGCAAAGTTGTTTTTTACTACGCACGACCATTAACGAGTGTGAAGGAATCCACCAAATTCATAGCACACTCATTTTCATTTAAATATCTGTATTCTTTACATTATTATATATCTATAAATGTTGAATATTATACAATTTTTAACTTGTGAGCCATTGAATATGATGTGATATTCATTTTTGACCGAGGCGATAACCGAATTTCACATCATATTCAATGGCTTACTAGTCAATAATTGTATAACATTAAATGTATAATCCATAAACAAAATTCGGACACAACTGAGGGATGAAACATTATTCTTGAGAAACGACGTATGAGTACAATGAACATTCATATGACGTCAATGCGCAAGCAATCAAGGTGTTGAGTACGGAAAAAAAAATATTATAATGCACATATCGTGTATGTATATTTTCAGTTAAAAAGTCATATAAAATTATAGGTGTATAAAAAATAAATGTTTATTATCTATATTATATTTTTTTCTGACACTTTATGTGTTTAGGGTCCAAGATGAAGTCATTCTTACCGCTATTTGTCTTTGCTGCTGTTATTATTGCCGGGAATGGAAGACTCATTTTCGAAGACAGAGGTTTGTAGATTTCCTCACCCGCTTGAACAATATTATTTATAAGTGAACATAGGATTTTTTACGTATTTTACAGAATATGTTTTTTTCTGCCTTTGTTTTAAAAAGTTAACGTTTTACATTAATGATTTACACACTGTCAGAATTAGTAAGTATCAATTTAATATGAAACAAGGAAAATGAAAAAAGTAGGCTATTGTAACCTCAGGAAATGTAAAACGATGTAAACTAAAGAATGGAAAGGCCTTAATGGTAATTCACACATATTCATATAAAAATGCTTACTCTCAACCAGTTTCACTATTTTTTTTAAATAATTTTCTTTCAGACAGCATTGGAGACGGGACAATACACTAGATGACGTCATATACGATGCAGAAGACGATGACGTTTCGTTTGACGTCGAAAACAGAGATGACGATAACGTCTTTCCGTATTTCGACGACCAGCTCGTGGAGGATTCTTCCGAAGAAGATAGTTTAGCTGAAGATGATGTATATGTTATAAATGAACTTACCGGATGCCATAATGGTAAATGTGAGATGTGTATGAAAATGTGGAAATTGAAAGGTACGTCACAACAAAATTTCTCAAATTATCAATATCTGTACTAAATAATTCCTGTATCTGTACTATAGAATTTCTATATTTTCATAATTAAAAATATAAAATATAGATCTATAATCTAAGTCAGTTGTACTTATCATACAGGAGTTGAATATTCTAAATGAATTGTACTTAATATATATTTTGAAGAAAAAAATAGATTATCTAAACTGTTTATTTCTGAAATGTTAATATTTTTACAGCATGCTTTGTCGCGGAAATGACCTCCAAAGGCATCAAACTGAGCTTCAAAGCTCATGGCAGAAGTATTTCCCATGTTATTAAAAGTGAGTGAATTTCATTTTATTATACATGTTAACGGACTTGAGATTTTTGTTATTGTTGGTTAATATAATTTACACGTGTTGTCTTCCGGGACAAATGATTCTTTAGAAAAGCATTATCTAAAGTAACTTTTATTTTGGAAATAAAAGATTAGTTGAAAGAGGAAAAATATCCAAAATTATCAAACTAATAAATGAACTTTCCAAAAAACATTTCTCACGATACTACCGGTAAATGAAGTCAGTTCTATAATCGAGACCTAGTTACTTCACAGACGCTTGGGGTCAGACCCTGCCCTCAACGTGATACGCCCCTGTAAACACTAAAAATATAATAAGAAATCTGTTACAAGGATAAAATTGGTTTTCTAACAATTTTGACAGAAATAAAAATACCTTTTACCATCAAGTCTCAATAAAGTACTTTATTGGTTGTTGTATGTTTTTGTTGTTTATTTTTATTATTTTTTGCTTGTTTTTTTTTTTTTTGCTCAGCATAGGACCGCCTCCGTGGTCGAGGGGTTTAGAGTCGATGACTTCTAATCCAGTTACCTCTCTGGCGTGGGTTCGATCCCCGGGAGATGCCTTGGTAGTTTAGCGACGAGGAAGGTAGTCTAGTACTGGTTTAACTCTCCAGGAACGATGGTTGGGAAACTACCCGCCTATATGACTGAAATACTGTTGGAAAAAGGCGTAAAATAGAACAAACAAAACAAACAATTTGTTTTAGATTTTTTTTATTTGTTCATATTTTTTATCTTAATTTGTGTACTGTAATGTTGTAACTTGTACCATATGTAGGAGCAATAAGTAATCAATGGATTTGTTTTTCAGGCAATGGCAGCTTCACCTTGAAAATGAAGAAAAGCAAACTCCCCAAATCCATGAGAAAACTGATGAAAAGCGATCTAGAAATAAGGGTACAAACAAAAATTGACACTATAAAATCTTTCTCAATAATTATACAATAGAAACATATCATTTTCTTTATACTTTTGAATCGTTTTATTACGTTTACGCCATTGAATAAGTGATAGATCAACATATACGAATTTTTAAAAAAAAAATACAACTTTCAAAAATTTAATAATTAAAAATATTCATTTTCTGGTACAGAAAACACACGATTTATGTTTAAAAAATAAAGCTACAGAATCTAAAAGACGTTTTAGAAAAACTCGGAAGGAAAACAAACCGACATTGTTTTACAAAAAAATGTACTTTGATATTTATAATAGTAACTGTTGTTTTTCCCCATCCAGATTTCCGGTATTGACATCGCTAAGAAGCAACTGTGTGTCCAGCTGAAGGTCAAGGTGAAGTTCTTTGGGACAATAAAATGGCCAAAGAAAAGTCCACAATGCTTCAAGCTGTAGGAATTCTAGGGTTTCTAAGCTGCACAGAGAAATCTGCAATTCATAATTTGACGTGAACATTGCGACAACAGTGACTATCACATCCGGTTCTGATCAACAAAATTTCCTACTTTAGTTTTGTACAAGACTCTTACGTAAATTCTAAATTTAGTTTAATCTAAACATGTTTAAACATGTATTTTTACTTTCTCTACTCCATACATAAAGTCTAAACATATAATATCATATAAAACTGCAATAAAGAAAGAAAATTTCAGACTGCTATTATTTTTAATTTTAAGCAGGGTCCTTCAAATAGAAAGACCTTGTTTCACGGACTTTTAATTTACATTAAATGAATTTGTAAATTAAAGTCCGTGAATATATGCATCATTGGTAAAAACGAGAACGGGATCCAGATTGCTGCGCATTTTCCGATGTACACGTACATTGTTCTGTGTTAGATCATTAAATAAATAATAAATTAATTAAATATCTCATGTTTAATGGAAAAATGAAAAGCATATTAATAACATGTTTTACCTCTTTTGCCCATGTTATAACGGGACCAAAACCATGTGCTAACATAGTCACGCGCTCTTGTTATAGCCCGGTTTTACCTACTAGTATACGCAATACATACAGGGTCCAGTAAACAAACAAAAAAATGACGATTTGGCCTGTTTGCCAAAGAGCCATGTTGAAAGTATTGATTCGAGGGTCTAATCGCCGCTAATCTTGGTTGTCCCCCTTTCTAAGAAACGGACAGGTGTCAATGTAAACAAATTTCTGTCATTCTGTTTAACCCTCAGATTAACTTACAAAACAAGATAGCACAAAATGAATATGAGAAAATTATGGAACGCCATTCTGCCATGCCAATTGCAATTTACGAAATGATAAATGCGAAATGCAATTTGCGAAATGACATTTGCTAATTGATTATTGCGAAATTCGAAATGCAATTTGCGAAATGGCAAATGCGAAATGTTATTGCCATATGCGCTGGGCTGGAATGAATGACCAGCAACTTGAAGAATGTATCTTTTATTCTTTGATAAACTGGCAAATAAAAATAAAACCCGTGTCTCTCACTCCATTTACAGTTGCATGTACTACTAATAGTCGGAATATACAATCTAACATAAATCTTGTCAAGGTAAATGGACGTCGATTTAATACATGCCACATGCGACGTCCAGGGTCAAAACTTTTAACGTGATGAATGATCCAACACTTGCTCACATATGCTATAAATACTGGCAATTGGAATTGGAAAGTTAATCCTTCGTACAATTATTTTACCCTCAAAAGCCTTCATGAAAAAAAACGTAATTAAATTTTATTTTTTTTAAATTAAAGGAGGAAATCCCTGTATTGAAAAGATAAAAAAGAGGGGCATAAAATTTACAGAAAAGGGCCCAATTTAGGGAAATTAAAAGGTTAAACCATATGTGGCATTTAGTTTGGAAACAAAAATTAAAAGCCTTCAGGGTTTTTTGGTTTCAGGGGGCAAAATTGTTGGGGGCAGAAGGTTGTTTGGCTGTTTTCTCCCCTCGCAAACAAATTTTTGAGAAGGGGAATTATTGAGTCAGTCTTTTGGGTGTTGGGGGGGGGTTGGGTTTGGGTCTATTGCAAAAAATACCTACTTCTTGTGGGGGGCCAGCTATTTTCACAATTTTGAGGGATTGGTTAAATTAAAATAAAACACATATAAGTGAAGATATTATTTTCCCAAAATCAGTTAGGGCAATTCAGGCATTGCATAGTTATATTTATTGCCCCCTTGAATATAGACATCATGTATATGATTCTTGAACATAAAATATTGGGAGCGCAAACTGCTTTCACATTTTCTCAAGTGACTCGTTCAAACTTGGATTTATATAACTTGAAGTGAATATGAGCAAGGCCACACACTTTGGTCCGGCAACGGCTTGCGAGTTTTAACTAAACCCTTGAATTAGACCCTTTTATGCCAGAACAATAGAAGCTTGGTTTAAGCCAAAAAAAGCTCATCACCATATTAAATATACCCAAAAACAACATTAAAATACATAAATGAACTGAATGATATAATTAATTACAAAATAATGGTTTATGTTAATGTGGAATGTTTAATAGATACGAATTTACTTTAAAAAAGCATATGAATACATGTATTAATTTTCCACAAGGAATTGGCCTATCTTTTACCAAACTTATCAATTTAAGGGCTACAATACATTTTTCTTTTATGTTATGCCTATCAATAGAATACACCAAAAAGCAAACTCGCAGTTTTTAAGTGTGACAAATGAAGGGGGAAAAACTTAGGGTAGGCTTTACATAAACCCAGTATTTTTAAACATTTATTTTCCCTTTAAGTTCCTGATCAATATTGCTAGAATTCATTTCTATAATGAAAAATTAATTACGCTTTACTGATTTTGGGTACGGTTTTTTAATAAAGAAAAGAAAACCACAAAACAGACCAAATACCCAAACAACTAACACCCTAGACTTAATTATAAGGATTAGTTTTGTCAAAACTTTTTATCATGGTATTTAATTTTTGGGTTTATATGTTGGAAAAACGATATATATTTTAATTTGGGAGAAGATACAATTATTAATAAATAAAATATAAAATATATGTTATATTGACAATTTCTTATTCACAATTTAACTTTACAAATTTTCATGGTGAATATCAATGCGGCATTTAACAGTTACAATGATAACTTTTTTCATTTTTTTTAAAAAACAGAAAAAAAAGAGAAGAGAGCAAAGCTTACTGTCGTATATTATAACAAACTATCCCTCCAAATTTAAAAGGCTTTAATCATCAGAATTGCTTTTTTCCAAAGTTTTTTTGCGACCAGATTGCATTAAGGAAAAATAATTTAAACATACTTGTGTTGTAATAATAGTATCTTGGAATGTATTGCTTTTTCTTTAACCTCCAGAATTATATTGGACATTTAAAGGGATAAAGTGAAATTTCATCTTTATATCATTCTAATAACATAAAAGGTTTGGCAAACTTTGTTCTTCCTTGGTTTAATTATTATGTCTTCCCCTAACTCGATTTAAAGTTTTGGTGTGGAGGAGAGTTCTAATTTTTGCTAAAAATTTCTATATTTTACATTTTCAGTATATTTTTTTTTTAAAAATTTTTGTTAAAATGTGATCTTTTTTTCCCCTATATCATTAAAAATGATGAAAAAATTGAATTTACCATCTTTCCCAAAAACTTCTTTAAATACCCCTTTTCTTTCCCAAAAAATGGGAACAAATAGTTTTTATAACAAAATTTGGGATAAAAAACCCCCCCCTTTTTAAAACCCTGCTAAATAAAAGAATTTTTTTAATTTTAAGCCCGGTTTTTTTAAACCCAATTTCCCACATAACATCATATGTCTGTTTTAACAAATTTTTTTCTCAAAAATAAAATTATTTTTTTTTCCCCCTGTATTTAACTTAAAAAAATTTTTTTCATAAAATTGCCTTTAATTTTAAAGGAGGAAATCCCCCCAATTCAAATTTAATCCCCAAATTTTTTTTTGCCCCTGTTTAACATTTAAATTTAAACCTACAAAAATTTTTTATGTACTCGATTCCAAAACTTTCTGCATTCATAAACCCCATACTTATACAGCCATAATTTTAAAATTGATAAAAAACATAGGCGTCAAAGAGATTAAAACATAATGTTAACGGCGTACTTTGTAGTCACGTAACAATTGTAACCAATGAATATAATGATCTGAGCCCTTTTCCAGCTAAACGTCTTTGTAGCTTGCATGAATGACCCCACCACTCGTGAATCGCCACACCTAAGAAGTTAAATGAATCTTACTAACCTCGATTTCTTGATTATTATTTAAAACCACTTATCCATATTACCAAGTCTTACCACCCTTTTCTGAATAACAATTTTTTTTTGTCTTTTTCAACATTTACCGGTCCAAATTCCAACGATTACAATAAAGGGAAAAAAACCCCATCAAATGCTTCTCCAACCCGGGCCCAGATTTGAAATGATGGCGGATCGGGCCAAATTCAATAAAAAATTTATTAAATTTTGGGTTTAAAATTTAAAACACCGGGCAAAATTTTTTTTGCGGTTTAAATTCCCATTCTGGGAGGAAAGGGGAAAAATTGGGAAAAATTTTCTCCCCCCGGGAAAAAACAATTTTTATTTTTGAAAAACATCAGATAAGTTCCCAAAATGTTTTAAAACCCCAATTTTACCCCAATTTTTAAAATTGATTTTATTAATTCAAAAATTTGCCGGTTTTTAAACCCTTTAATTTTAAAAAAAATTTTTTAAACCCTAACCCTTTAACCCATCCAAAAAATCAATCCCGCTTTTTTTAATTTAAAAGAAAAAAAAGTAAATTTTCCCTTTTTTTTTTCAAATTTTACTTTGTTAGTGAAAGTAAAATAAAAAAGGAAAAATTTGTATTTCCCCCTTTTTGGGAAACCCAAAATGGGATTTGACAAAACCAGTTGTCTTCGAATGATTTAAGTTTTCATTTAATATTTTAAATTTTTTAAAAAATTTTTAAAAAAAAGTGTAAGGGGTTTCCTCTATTTTAATTTTTTGGATCTGAAAAGCCTTTTTATGCAAGGGGGAATTTAAAACACCCGTCCCCATGGTTTTGGGAAAAATTTTTTCTTATCTAGTATAACGTTAAAAAAAAATTTAAAAAGTGAATTTTGAAAGGGGCAGATAATTTTAAAAATTATTGGATATTATCTTTAAGAGGGCGTTTTGTTTACTCCCAGTTTTTTGGGTTTGTTTAAGATTTTTCAAATTTTTGATTTCGTTATCTTTGGTCTCAAAAGTTTCTACTGTTAAAATTCCCCCACCCAAATTATTGATTTCAATGTATAGTCTTTTGTTTTCTTCGCTCTCCCCTTTAAATTAAAATTTCAAAAAAAAATTTTAAAAACACCCCTACTTCCCCCCAAACGTAGAATTTGTTTTTGAAATTTTTCCAAAAAAACCCCTTTGGGGGATTTCCCCCTTAAAATTGTTCATTTTTTGACAACGGTATTATTAAAAACCCTTCTTTGATTTTACATTGATATTTTATAGTCTTTTTTTTATTAAAAAATAGTTTATTCTGAAAAAGTTAAAATAAATTTTATTGGAAAGCCAAATTTTTGGGGAAACCAAAAATTACAAAAACCTTTTTATTTTTGTTATTTTTCACTAAAAAAAACTTCCCGTAAAAAATAAGTCTTCTTTAAAAACTTTATTCCCCTGCTAACAAAAAATTGGGAAAA